TGTCGAAAATCTTGGAGGGACATAAGGTCGAACACCCAGATTTCCCCTTGGTGGGGGTGTTCCTGGTGGACCCCTAGGACCTATATAAGAAAGTATTGGTCATGTTTGTGTAACTATTAATACTGGTGTCGAACCAACCGTTTATGGCATAGGTTCACTAATTGTTGGCATAACCGTAGTTCCATTGCCAGGAATTGGTGGAGGCATTTCTCCACTAGACTGATTAGCCATTTTCTTATTTCTTATCTTAGGTATGTACTCTTTGGTGGTTGCTTTGCCACTTCTCAATAACATACAACACTCTTCGAGAGAAAGGAAAATTACTTAAAGTATTTATGATAAAAACTGTTTTTATCAAAGTTTGTAAAAAAACAAAAACTTAGCAACGTCTCACTGGGCGTGCCAATTTGTTTACCGTGAAAATTGGTAAACAATCACTGATCTTCCAAAAAAGGTTATTTTGGTTACTTGCAGGATTGATCAGTTTGATCCTAGGACATATGCTAAGTATTTTGTGTGTTTGGATAGGCTTAAATAAACAGGTTCGACAAGATACTAAGAGTAAAGGCAGGATGAAGATAAAAAAACTTGATAAAAACACAAGTAAAGTGAAAGACAAAGTAAATTTGTAATAATGTAAAAGGTTGTAATGGTAAAGTTTGCAGAAATGTTAAATGGAAAAGATTGTAAAGAAATATAAAGACTTTGACTTCAATTAAAATATGGTGATTCAAACGTACATTCTCAATATTCTTTCTCTCACAGTGGGTACTTGAATAAATTTGAGTGACTTGTACTAATAAGTTGAACACGCGTAATTTTACACAAATTTCCTATATTTATATTAGTAAAAAGTAAATGTCGAACAATTGCTTCATTCCAGGATGAGGACAAGTGTCCTCTGCATGTTCTTCGACCCCTATCTTCATGCCACACTGCTTTTCCTAACTACCAAGTGAACTGTCTTTCCCTCCTTTATTCGAATTCAAATCCACTTGCTGCTGATACAAGAGCCTCTCGGTCAAAGACCACCTTTAACTTAGAGATACAAGAGCCTCTCGGTCAAAGACCACCTTTAACTTAGAAAATCCTCTAAGTGTTTTCTCCTTCTTAGCAAAGATGAATTCGACACAACCCCTTTTATAGGCTCTTCTGTCGAAGTGTCTTCAACTTAGATTTCTTCAATCTATTTTTAGCCAATAAGGCTAATATGTGTGAGTGTCGAATTTAGGAGTTAACACATACAAGAGTATATATAACATTCTACACATCACACTACACAAATTATGCATTATATCATCAATTTTGCATAATTTCTTCATCAAATTCACCAATATCACAACATATTATCAATAACACTTAATGTAAGAATTGATCAAATAATGGCACACGAATTTTAGAAACAAATTCAGCATAACAACACAATTAAATCAGAACAATCAACATACTTGATTATAGAGGTTTGTACAACCATCATTAATCTCAAAAACTCCATTAATGGAGGAAAGAAAAAGGAAAACCTTTCTCTATCCTTTATGAAAAATTACACCTTAAAGTGAACCAATTTCCCCTACCTCAATTTTCAGTAATATCCAAGCTCTAGCTATGACTTTCACTCTCACAAGCACTTGCTTTTTTTTTTTGCCTTTTTCTCCTAATCTCTCTAATTCACGTACTAATAAAACAAAGGCAACATTAAACCTCTTTTTAACCTTAACCTAATTTTCAATTTTTTATTATTTTACTCTTCTCTCAACTTATTCTTATTTTCACTCAAATTTTTCCAATAATCCTAAATTCCACTCAAATATCACAATTCTCATAATTTCGGTTTACCTTCCATACAATATCGTGACTCATACTGGCATCGGTTTTCGAATTTCTCTGGTCACCACCAGATTTCCGCTGTCATCCGTCATCGTCGTTTCTATTTTCGATAAACTAACCCTACCAAAATAAGCGTCTCCTCTGATTTGGTCGATCCCGACGATGTGATTAGACCTAACTACCCTACAAAATCAACTTGTAGAATGAGGATTGCCCTACTTATAAGTGTTGGGGGAGATATTAGGAGCATCAATATATAGTGTAGGAATAAGCACCTTTGTGATAGGCACACCACTTATCCACCTAAAACCTTAAGGTGATAGGTGAGTGGGTTCTCCCACTTATATATGCTTAAGTCTCCATATTCCTATCCAATGTAGGACTATTTCCCCATTTACTCACACTTGCTATATTATTCCAACACTCCTCCTCAAGTGTGAGTCCACAATGCTCCCTCACTTGTACCGCCATTGACCTCTTGCAACGGGACACCACTTCCTTGGCGCATTTCGATACAAGTCTCTTCCGGTCCATTTCTCGAACCAAAGGCTCTGATACCATATTGCGGGGAGATACTAGGTGCATTGATATATAGTGTAAGAATAAGCACCTTTGTGAGAGGCACATCACTTATCCACCTAAAACTTTAAGGTGATAGGTGAGTAGGTTATCCCACTTATATATGATTAAGTCTCCATATTCCTATCCAATATGGGACTATTTCCCCACTTACTCACACTTGCTATATTATTCTAACAATAAGCACATGTTCATGCCATATATTGTCCGATGTAGGACTGTTAATACACCCCCTCACACCCAGGACTAGACAACTAGAGCATGGAAAGAAATGGTGGGTGGCTCGATAGTGGAAACCATAGTAGGTGGCCTACCGAATCTTAAACGAGACTCTTGATAGCATATCAGAATTTGGATTGGATCATAGTGATACCTTCTCTCTTATAGCCAAGATGGCATCTATTAGACTTCTTCTAGCCATTGCAGTCATTCGACATTGGCCTCTTCATCAACTTGACATCAAAAATGCATTTTTATATGGTGATCTTGAAGAGAAAGTATATATGGAGCAACCACCTGGGTTTTTTGCTCAGGAGGAGTCATCGAATATGTGTGTAGGCTACACATGTCTCTTTATGGTCTCAAACAATCTCTGAGAGTTTGGTTTGGCAGATTCAACATTGTAGTACAACAATTTAGTATGGTTTCTAGTGAAGTTTTCCATTCCGTTTTTATCGTCACTCAACCCAAGAGTGTATTTATCTTATTGTGCATGTAGATGATATTGTCATAACTGGTGGTAATTAATAGGGAATACTCCAGTTGAAACAACATCTCTCGAGTCAATTTCAGACAAAAGATCTTGGTAAACTCCGTTATTTCTTGGGTATTGAGGTAGCCTAATCTAAAGATGGTTTGGTGATTTCTCAACGGAAATATTCTATGGATATTTTGGAAGAAACGGGTTTGTCGAATGCTAAACCAGTTGATACTCTTATGGATCCAAGTGTCAAACTATTATCCAATCAGGGGGAGCCTCTATGTGACTTAGGAAGGTATAGGAGATTGGTTGGAAAGTTGAATCATCTCACAGTCACTCTTCTGAATATTTCTTGTCAGGAACACATGGATGTTGTTATCCGGATTCTGAGATACATCAAATGTGCTCCAAGAAAAGGTCTAGTGTATGAAGATAAATGACATACTCAGATAGTTGAATATTCTGATGTTGATTGGGCAGGGTCACCTATTGATAGGCGATCCACCTTTGGGTATTGTGTACTTGTTGGAGAAAACCTTATATCCTAGAAAAGTAAGAAACAAAATGTAGTTGCAAGATCAAGTGTCGAGGCAGAGTATAGGGTCATGGCAACATGTGAATTCATTTGGTTAAAACAGTTGCTTAAAGAACTTCAAATTGAAGAAACAAGACCAATGACACTTGTTTGTGATAATTAAGTTGCATTGCACATTGCTTCAAATTCAATCTTCCATGAGAGGACCAGACATATTAAGATAGACTATCACTTTGTTAGAGAGAAGATTGAATCAGGCGACATAGTCACGAGCTTTGTCAACTCTAATGATCAATTGACAGACGTGTTTACAAAATTCATGCGAAGTCCCAAAACTAATTATATATGTGGCCAGTTTGGTGCATTTAACTTATATGCTCTAGGTTTAGGGAGAGTGTTGAAGAATATACACTGATGGTGTAAAATATTTTTACACTGTCAATCAATCAGGAACATATATCCAACTAAATTACTTTTTTTTATTTAGTCACCCGTTTCGATCCACATAGTAAACCAAAATCAATTTATGCTAATAGCCAAACGATTCGTTCTTAATAGAAACTCTTTTTCCACTAGAACCCATGTACTTGGTTAACCAAATTACACCTTTAATGTTAAAATACTTAGAGCATCTTCAACCGTGAATCCATTTTTGAGTTTCTTGCGGGACCTATTAAGTCACGTCAGCTTGAAACAAATCAACTAGTTTTTCATTTTAACTGTGCAACTCTAAATAACTCATATTGGGTCCCACAACTTTACTTTATATATTAATATTTTATTCATATTAAATTTTATATGATTTAAAATAATAATTTTAATTATTTAAATTAAAATTGATATAAAATAAATAAAATTCAAATTAAACTTATAATTTAAATATTCAAATATAAAAAATTTAAATTATCATCATTTAAAAAGCAAAAGAATTATTAAAATAAGAATAAAAATAAAATAAAATAAAACCTATAAAATTAATTATCTTTTATATTTATTATTATTATAATCGAAGCAACATTGCATCATGATGCGATGGTCCGCCATGCTGTCCAACTCTAATGATATTTTATTGAAAAATATAGCCTTATTTTATAATCCATGCTCGCGAATCAAGTTTAAAAACCTCTGTTGGATGTGCTCTTATATGACATAATTAAATGTTATAATTCTATTAAAGTGTGGTAGCTTTAATCTCATTTAATATACCCAAATTTATAAGATAGTTACATTTTTATAGTGATTATTTATGTTTATGAAAGTAGACCAATCAATGTGTTGGGTTTATAAGATATTTTAAATATCCAACTTTCAAAATCTCTATCGCTGATTCAAACTAATAGTTGGTATCGCTGAAACGAAATGGGAGAATCTCCCGAGAAGATGAAAAACGAAGCCGTAAAGATAATCGAAACATTCCAAGTTCTACCAAAACTAGTTGTTTTCGATCTCGATTACACTCTCTGGCCATTCTACTGCGAATGTCGATCCAAACGCGAATCCCCTTCTCTCTATCCCCACGCCATGGGAATCTTGTTAGCTCTCAAACACAAGGGAATCGACATTGCCGTCGCTTCTCGATCGCCAACCGCAGATATTGCGAAGGCTTTCCTCAACAAATTGGGAATCACATCATTCTTTGTTGCTCAGGTTTATATTTTTTACCTAATTTTTGTTGAATTTTACTAGTTAGGGTTTTGTTGACCTAATTTGTGTTGTGTTGAACTAATTTTTGTTCAGGAAATATATTCTAGTTGGAGTCATAAAACGGATCATTTTCAGAGGATTCATTCAACTACTGGAATTTCGTTTCAGGATATGCTCTTTTTTGATGATGAGAATAGGAACATCCAAGCGGTAATAATAATCATACTGCATGTTTGAATTAACTATACACCAGTTGCAACACTAATTGCGGTCGTCCTAGTGTGAATTAACTATAATTTGTTCTTTAACATAAAAACCGTGAATATATTGGCACATGCCAATACCATTTTGTTGCTGCATTTCACTCGGAATCAATTCTTGTCACTGTAAAACTAAACACACATAATCAATTTATTTAAAATCAACTTTTGACATTGTTGAATCAAACACACACTTAGAGTCCGTTTGGGAGTTGGTTTTTAGAGGGTTTTGGAGGGGAAGACTTTGGAGGGTTGTGTTTATATCTTGAAATGTGTTTGATATTTTTCAAAAGTTTAAAAAACAATATGATTTTATATGCTAATGTAGTATGTTGCTTTTTAAACTTTTTAAAAATATAACACACATTTTAAGATATAAACGCAGCCCTCCTAAGTCTTCCCTCTGAAAACAAACTCCCAAACGAACCCTTAGAGAATTTGATTTTGACTTTAGAGTTGATTTTTCCTTTTAGTTAAAATTTGGAGAATTGAGAGAATTTTCCTCTACCATTGATTAGATTGTTTAACACACTTTTACATTAATGTATTCAAATATAAAAGCACTTATTTTGAAGTCAAAATCATTTTTTAGTGTTGCAGAACCAATAACACCCCGAACATGATTTTGTCAAGTTCATCATTAATCCAAAATGAAAATATACGCATAATATATTGTACTAGTCATATTAATGGAGTGTTTTTTTCTCTTAATTTGATCCATCTTAGTTACTACTGTTACATAATTTTTGACAGGTCTCTAAAATGGGAGTAACTAGCATTTTGGTTGATAATGGAGTAAATCTTGGAGCTTTGTCTCAAGGTCTTGCACAGTTTTCACGAAACTGGAATACATCACAGAAGAACAAGCAGAAATGGCTTTCCAACTATTCTAAAAAGCCAGATTCTTCCAACCCCGCCCCATCAAATTCAACATCCAAGTAAAACATTTCTCCGGATTTTATTTGGAATCTTGATGAATTTGAATATATGTTGTAATTGTCATTACTTGAATGATATTCTCAATCAAATTACTCAATCAATACAAAGCTAGGTAGCTTTGAAGGCACCGCCTTCATTTTCATGTAACATTAATACGGCCAAATATGCTATCTTTGTCGTGATGTTGTTGTACTCGACATTAATATTACTTTGCGTCGTTCTAGCTTTGCTGTCTATATTGACTGTGTTGAAGAACACAGAAATTTAATTGTTTTCTGTATGGATCCCAAAGAGGACCAATCTCACCTCCATTTTTAAGGGCACTTCTGACTACAAAATCTTTGGAGTTTGCCTTTGAAAATATAGTTACTATACCAAAAGCTAACTTTAATTTCTTTGTTATGAACTTCATAACCAGCAGCCTCCAACACAACATGCAACACAAACTTCTCTGTAAATTTTCTATCGAGGCCAACTTCACTCTCAGCACTTTGGTAAGGGTACAAGAACAATCCTCCAATAACAGGTGTTCTGTGTGGGTGTTGATGCAAGCCATAACATATGCAGATTTGATTTTTATGGGGTTGAAGAATATGGACTTCTTTTTAAAAGTTGTCAACCAATATTGGTGATCTGTATGAAAATTTAACCCCGAATTTCGATTTTATTGCTTACTACAAACTTTATTTGTATTAGATTTTAACAAATATGCATGGACAATGTGAAAAGAAAAGATTTATGGTCATCCAATTGTAAAGATATCTAATGATATATTGGAAATGATTTTATCATAGTCGTCTTTGAAATGTGTAAGATAGACTAATGAACAAAACCTAAACGTGTACTAGGGACCATTGAACAAAACCTAAAATTTGTGAAGGTTGACTAAATAAGATTTTATAACAATCCTTTGAACAAAACCTAAAATTTGTGAAAGTTGACTAAATAAGATTTTATAACAATCTTAAAATTTGTCAAGGTTGGCTAAACAAGATTTATAAAATATTGTTATGGTTAAATTATTTTCAAATATAACTTCTATTTGTTTTGTTTGATTAAACTACGACTACTATCTTATTATCATTAAACTATTACTAATCTACACCTCTCCAAAAACTGAGACTTGTCATAGTTAAACTACCGTTAATCTACACCTCCAAAAATCTTTGAGATGACATTGGATTTAAAATTAAAAGGTACATTTTCTGTGTAAATCTCTTATATTTAACGGAAAATATACTCATAATATTACTTCTTAAAAAGATACTACATTTTAGCAAAATTCCAGATTAAGTGGAGAGAAATAGAGATTTGCGGATTGAAATTTATGCTATAAACCTATTACATATATCAAATATCTATGCAGATTTTTACTATGCGAGTTGTGTTTACAAGAAAAATTTCAATTGAATACACATGAAAATACCATCATGATGTAAACATTGGCTCAACAAATTTAAATGGGGTAAATTTCATTGGAATTTGAGGATTTAACATAAAATGGTGAAGTTTGATCACGGTTTCCACTTGTTGACATCATAAAAGATACTAGCTTTTTGAATCAAGCTTTTTAGAGATTGTAGAAAATGGATGTTTGCGCGCTGGAGAAGATGATTCAATGTGCAAAACACAAGATGGAGGAGCAGAGACCTTTGAAGCGAGAAATGTCTCTAATACCATGTTAGAATTCTATATATTCATTGATTGATAGAGAATTCTCAACTAAATTCTTCAGATCTATGCCCTCACAAATTCAGCGTCAGTGCTCATAGTGTTAGAATAAAAATTAGAATAGTCATTATGGACCTTTACCTGTCATTAGTCATGGCAATGATATCAGGGTGCTTTTGTGGTGATTGCGTGACATGGCCTCTTCTTCTAAATTATGGTATCGGATTAAAAATGACTTACCCTTCTCACACTGTGATCAATGGTTACCTTGCAATTATTTGGTCCTATAAAATTTATATTGGGCAAAAAAATTATGCAACCACTGGAGAAAGTTTGAAAGAATTGAATCATTGTATAGACTGGAATTTTTCCAACAACATTGTTCAACAGACTTAGCATTCAACTAATCCAAACATCTCTAAAACAATGTGTCAACTAGTGAACAATTAATGAAACAACAGAATACATGTGTCAATATCCTAGGTTCAAAGTTCCCAGTTCAGTTTCAGCTTGCTTGAGAAACAAATAACACCTGCATGGTCCATAGGAAAATTTCTCAGATGATTTATCAAGGGAAAAACAGTATAACAATGAACGAGACGAGACTAGCTACACAATCAATCATTTGCATTCCTAAACAAAACAGCAATATTTTACACAAATCAGTAATAGGTATATAAAGACATAAGCAACTAAACATGACAATATCTGAACTTGTATATCTTGTGCTTCAGCAACAGCATGAATTTCTTCTATGGTCTACATATGCAAACTGTTAACTTCTCTCAATGGCAATCGCGCATCGAAATTTTCTTCAATTTGTTTATTTGTGGGAGGACAAAGAATATCATTTGCACTATCTTGAGCAGAACCATGTAGCTTATCACAAACAACGGAATCCATTGCCGTTTCATTTTCAGAAGTATGCAACATATTTCTTAGTTCTTCCTTCAACTGCAAACCCTCACTAGATGAGAAATCACCAAGTTTGTCATAGATGTATTCAATCAGTGCCAACATGTCTTCCCTTTCTGTCAATAATTTTGTGATGACTTGAAGCAAATTTCCTTTCTCAAACTTGATATCTGCAATTATCTGTTCTATCTCCTGCTTTTTCTTTGTCAACTTTTTAGTTTCTAACTCCATGTCTTCCAATGATGTTTGAAATTTCTTCGATTCATGTTTTAAATGGGAACACAATTCTTCAGTGTGTGTCAAATTCTCAAGCAAACTGTTGATTTCCAATTCTAACTTCATTATTCTCGTGTTCTTCTCTTCAATTTCTAACTTTGTCAGGTATTCTACATTCTTCATAGCCTCGGTAAGCATGCATACTTCAACCAACTTTTCCACTTGTTTTGAAAAAGAGAAGCATAGAACATCCACTAGATCTTGTTCTGAGGCTTTAGCTAGCTCCTGAAAGTGCTTTATAGTTTGATCTTTCTCATCTGTAATCTTCCAAAGATGGTCCTCCTTCTGCACAAGGGCCTTTTGAGCATCCAGATGTGCGAGAACTGCATCTTCTAATTCTTTTTTCATGGACTCTTGCTTCAGGCACGTAACGGCTATATCTTTCTGAAGATCTTTTATGCAACAATCCTTCTCCATTACGGTTTTGACAAGTTCATCATTCTCTTGCTTACACCTCTCTACTTCCTTTGTTTTCTCGGCATTGCAGGATTCCAGTAAACCTATCTGCAGTTGAAGATCTTCAGTTTCCCTCTCCTGATCCTTGACAATACAGAGAAGGTTTTTGTTCTCCTGCTTAAGAGCTTGCTCGTTCTCGATCCGTGACTGAAGAGAAGTTTCCATCTCCTGCTTAAGCGTTTCAGCAGTAGACTTCCAGTTCTGTGCTTCACAATCCAACCGAGACAGCTCATCATTTTTACTGGCCAATTCGTGTTTTAGCATTTCGAGAGCCTCAAATGCAACTTTTCTCTCATGTTTTAGAGTGTTTTCCATCTGCAAGAGTTCCTCTTTCAATATAAACTGATCCACAGATGATTCCTCGAGCAATTTCTTCTGCTGTTGAAGCTCTTCCTCCAACAGAAACTGTTGTTGTGCCAGATGTTTTAGAGAATCATCTTTCACTCTCAGTTGCTCAGTAAAGTTTAGAATCATATGTTCATTCGCTTCAACACAGACCGCTTTACCCGTTTCTATACCGAATGAATTGGAGTAACCCTCAGCAAGTACTGACTTAAAGATCAACAGTTCAATATGATTCTCTTCATTGGCATAGTAACTTTTTTCCAATTCCATCATAAGCTCCCTAATTTCTTCTTCTTTGCCGGTCAAAGCAGATTTATAACCTACAGTATCAGCCTCCATCTTTGCTATCTGATCATTCCATTGGCATTCTTTAGACTTGAGAGTTGAAGAACAGTTTTTATGAACATCCTCCAACTTTTTCAGCTTCTTGCGAAGCTTTGATGTCATAGAATTCCCTCCAGCGTCACAAATCTGAGCTTCCCTAAATTCTTTAAGTGAATCTCCCAATTCCTGATTATCTTGTTCAAGGTAAACTATTTTCCTCTTCAATTCTTTCACAAGAGCCTCTTTCTCTCCCAGTGAGTTTCTCAGCTCGGCTACCTCATCGTTCCTCATAATAGTCAGTTGTTGTATCTCAGACTTCTTTTCTTCACACTGACCATAAACATTCTCAAAACTAGTCTTGAAGTCCGATATTTCAGCCTCCAAGAGCTTCCTCTTACTTTCTTCGCGAGCCAACACATGGTTACACATTTCCAAACGAGATTGAACCCCCTCCAAAGCTCTTGTCTGAGAATCCAAACTGATTTGCAAGGAAGATAATTCATCGAGCAACGAAGACCTCTCCTTTTCCCACTCCTCCTCGCTCAATCGAAACTTATCTTGAAGCTGTTTATGAGCTTCTTCAAGATGCTTAAACTGTTCATTCCTCCATTTCATTTTGTCTTGCACACAAACATTTTGTTCCTGCAACTGCATTATCACATCCTCTCTCAATCCCAGCGTCTTCGCTCGCATAGCTCTCTCCTCAGCTTCGATATACTTCTTCTCTGCAGCCAATAACAACGACTTTAAACACGAAATTTCCTCGCTGCTAGCCGAAACATTCTGCTCCAAATAACAATTTCTAGCATTAACCTCATCCAAAGACGAAACCAGTTCAGAATTACTCCCCTCCAATTTCAAAACCCTCTCAGTTAACCTTTCTTGAATCTTTTTATTCTCTAAACTCAAATGTGCAATGTGTTTTTCCTTTTCATTCAAACTAGACTTCAAATCCTCATTAATTCTTTTCAGTTCATAAATCTTCCCCGACTTGAGATCGAGTTCACCCGCTCGTTTCTCAGCAAGATTCTTAATTTCTTGAAATCGCTCGGCGCGGTCGTTCTTCAAACTTTCTATGTATTGAGTTTTAACTCGGCATTCTGCCCTAAACTTCTCCAATTCTTTTTTAACATCATCTAACTCTGTCTTGAAATTATCCTCCATTCTTTAATTTCTCCCTAAAAATACATACAAATTTTGTCCTCATTATCAAACAAAAAAATAAAATACATACAGATTTGATTTGAATTTATTATTAACAGATACATTCATTAACCTTAATAAATTGAAGAATGTAACAACAAATTACAGATTTAAATGAGATTTATGTGAACTCTAAATTGAAAAGTGGATCTGTTCAATAATAATGTCAAGAGTAATAGTTGATGAATAATGATGAGATTATTGTAAGAATCAGAATAATGATGAAGATTTGTTGATGATGAAAACGGTACCTGAGAAATGAGGAAGAAGTGTTACCTGTTTGTTGTTGCTGAGATTTTGAAACCGAAACGGTTATGAACTATCAGACTGTGAGTGACTGTCTTTGAGAGAAGCCGGAGAGGGCGCGGTCTTTTATTTTCAAATTACAGAATTTTTGGAGAGGAAACACACTGAATGCACCCAAATTCGCAACACAACATGTCTCACACGTGAGCAGTAGTGTTTTACACGGCCCCAACTAAACCGAAATCCGAACCAAATTATAGTGTTTGGGTTGAATATTTTTTCAGTTAAAGTAAGAACCGAACTAAACTAATAAAATTCAATGACAATTAATTTGGGTATTAGATTTTCAATTTTCTCTCCGCAAACCCAACTCAAATCAATCATAATTAATTATCATAAAAATTACTACCAATCATTCAAGTTCAAGAAGAAAAAAGTGAAATGTCATATATAGACAAGTTATTCTATCTTAATTTGTTATTAAATTAATATTATCGTAATTGAGCGTAAAGCTATGAAATACATTCATTATCATGCTAACTCGAGTGACTAATTATAGATTCAAAAGTCTTGATGTTATATATTTTTCTTGATTGATATTTTAGAATCTATTTGGAAAAATTGTTAATCTAATATTTACGATTAAACACTATTAATACTATATTTTTTATATTATTATGAAAAATAATTTCCGTAGATAAGTTATTTTTTTAAAATATTTTTGTGTTTTTTATCTACCCGATCAATCCAATCCAAACCAACCTGTTATTTTTCAGTTCAGTTCGGTTTGGGCTTTATCGCAAAAATTTGCATATCCAATCCAAACAAATCCATATAATTTTAATCGGTTTGGATATCGGATTCTCTCAAAATTGAACCAAACCGGCCCGCAAAGACCCCTAGTATTTTATTCATGTTTTAAAAACCGGACCGGAGATCAAACCGACAAGACTTTTTATTCAAGGTTATTTGGTCCAACTGGTAAAATATACGATCGAACTATTTATGAAATAAATTACTAATATAAAGTTAAAATTTATGGATAAGTCACGTAATTATATGTTTAGTGATATGTGGGTTTTACATCTTTAATTACCGTTAATTTTAGTTAATTGTGTCATTGTTTTTAAACGTTTTATTTCCCTTTTTCTGCATTTTATGTTTTGGTTATGTCTCTTTAAATATTTTTAGGTTCATGTAAGCATTCAAGAAGAATCGAAGCGAAAACAAAAAAAAATCACAAGAATTTGGAACAACTTCCTGCACACTTCAGGAAGTCTGACACGGCCATCCGTGTCAGCTGACACTGCCTGTGACAGGCAAGTAGCATTTGTAAAACAGAAATCAGAGGTTTGGCACGGGGGGGCGTGTCAGTTGACACTGCCCGTGTCAGGATGGTTGGGACCAAATCAAGAAAAGTTCAGAAAATAGGGGTCTGACACGGCCGTTCGTGTTAGCTGACACTGCCTGTGTAAGCCTGACACTGCATGTGTCAGGCGTTCACGCTGATTCCGAATTCTGCTTTTGTTTCGTCATTGTTTCGGCCAGAAAGGGTGTTTTGGACATGCTCGACCGAATTTTATTTGTCCAAATTTGAATCATTGGCAGGAGAAACTTTTCTTAAGCGTGTTTGGAATAAGAATTAGGGATTTTTTGGCAATACGACAAACATAGAGATAACGAAGATTGGAGAACGCAGAGACGTCGATGAACGATAGATTTTCCTGAACGAAAGTGATTGAAGATCCAATTCTACCACAATATATGTAATGTCTAATCCTAGAATTTCGTTATTGTTGTTTAATATTTTGAGTGGCTAAACTCTCCAATACTAGGGGTGTCCCTGATTTGAATCTGTAATGACTTAGATTTCGTATTTGCAATAACAATCGTATTTTTAACTATTAATTTATTCTCTTGATGTTCTTAATTCTTTCTCTTTCGGACAAATTGAGATTGTTGTATGATTACCAATTAGGTTAGACCACCATTTATAATGCTTTCATGAGAATATGTTATAGTATATATCAACTAGGAGTAGGGATACCCTATAGTAATCGGATTATTCTTGATTTAATTATACTTAATTCCATCAGTAAGTTTTTATGGACATATGGCTTATGATGAATGATTAAAGATTTTCTCACTAAGAACTTAGGAGTAAACACCCTTAAGAACCGGTAATTAAATTTTTAAAATGTGTTATTGCAATGTAAATTCAGAGTTGTTACAGGAATGAATCACACACATTCCCTAGCATGTTACTCATATTTGTCAAAACCGCCTTGCAAATTTATCTACTTTATTCACAAGTATGTTACTAATTCGCAAATTCAAACCAAACCATAGTTTTTGTTTAATTGAATAATAATTCAAACTCGATATTCATACGCAGTCCTTGAGATCGATATTCAGGAATTTCTCCATTATTACTGCATAGGCAAATTAGTACACTTGTTATTTTTCTGATCAAGTTTTTGGCGCCGTTGCCGGGGACTGCCAAAATATAGAGTTTTAATTTTAGTTCAATTGAAATTTTGTTGCTCGTCAACTAAAATTTTATTTCAGTTTTATTATTATCATTTTTATTTTGTTGCTACTAATCTGCGTCTGACTTTTGTATGCGAGGAGAACCCTCAACTAATTTTCTTTTTGACACAAAAATTGAAATAACTTTGCGGCAAGACTCAGACAAGTCAGACTGGAATCCGAACCAGAGCATATCTCTGACACTTCAGATTCAGAGTCAGACAAAGAAGGTGTTACTATGGTTGCAGATCCACCACCAGCTGAGAGACTTCTTGGGGACTATGGTAAAGAAAATGCACTGTGTAATACGGTGGAAGAACTAACTTAGATGTTTTGCGTTTTATCGCAATTGTTGCAGATAGCAAGAGTCACCACCGACTTTTCTTTTATCCAATAAAGGAAATGGTGAAAAGAACAGGAAAGACCTTTTGAGAATTTTTCTTGAGTTCGGGGGGTAGGTTATGAAAAGGGAAGGTGTTAGCACCCTTTTCATATGTAGTTATCTACGGGCTCTTAGTTGCTTGTTAGCTCACTTTTGAAATTGCTTTGTTTGAAATGTGTTTGTGGTGGATTTTAAAAGTATTTTTGAAAAGCGCCTTCGTTTAGGAAAACTTTGTAATGATTCTCGTCTCTATAAGAATGCATACAAAGTGTTGGACTTTTTAAAAATATTTCATGCTTTGAAAGTGTTTGGTGTGTTTGAAAAGATGTTTGTTTTTAAAGATGGATTGTGAGCAAGCAACTAAGAACGTTTTACCTACTCAAAAAGTATTTTGTTTATTTTCTCCTCCTTTAGATGTTGCTATATTACCATTGATTGATAAGAAGCCCTATCATTAGATGTGAAGGGACGGGCGTGGGTCGTCGTATAGTCATAGAAGGCAACTTGTAAGATGTTTTAGCAATTGTCGTAAGGGACTAAGATCATTTACCGAAGGCAACATTTGAAGGGTCATCGAGGGACTATGATCTTTTATTCGAGGGTCTTTGCTAAAACATCTCACGTTCGAGGGATGTGACTATTCTAATCTGACGCAACAAGTATGGATTACCCTAGAGGTGCAAGTGTGAACCGTGTTTTGATTGCATGCATTTTTGTCTCGAGATTAAGGTTCTCTAAGATTAATTTTATCTTGCCATACAAACCCTAATTACTAGCATTTTTATTGGAAAGCGATAAATTGCGGAAATTAAAGTCCTAATGTTGTACCCCAAAATTTTCCCTCCCATATTTCTCAAGACATGTCAAGAATAATCTCCAAGTTACTCAAGATGGCTCAAGAGTTGGACAGTCAAATCATCTCCTAAGGCAGTCAATCTCAAATTAAGGTTATGTGTTGCATCAAGGTCCTTGCATCCAAATGACCTCAAGTGCTCCCCAATGCCTTAATATGTTCTCAAGTACATCCATGTCAAATTTCAAGCCTTGCAGAGGACGTTTGGTCAGTCAATTGCTCAAGAGGTCCAAAAATCGACCGTGCTAGGGCAAAAGTTAACGGTGACCTAAAAATAGTCAAACCTCAAGATTTTTTGTCAATATTCTCATTTTGAAGGATAATTCATCATTTGATCAAGGGTTGATCATGATTCATCAAGGATTGCTCAAAATTCATCAAGATTCAAAAGTTGCTAAATTAGGGTTTTGTAGGAAAGGTCAACTCAACTTTGACCAAGCATAACTTTCTCATACTTTATGAGAAATGACCCATCCAAAGCTCATTTTGAAGAGGATTCAATTTTCTACAATCCATCTTCACACCCCAAGATCAATAAATACACTCACAAAAAGTTACAAATTTGGACATTATAGATCATTTTTGAAAGTCAACAAAAACACCTTTTTTTTCCAAAGCTTATAACTTGAGCATGAAATATCAAAATTGGATGAGACCAAAAGGGTTGGTTATATGAAATCTCAAGGTTTCTAAAAAGTCCAAGAACACCTCCAAAAGTTCAAAATTGAAGAATTTATGCATTGTTGAAGTTGGGCATTTTTCCAAAATTGCCAAAAGTCAACTATCCCCAAAACATCAAATTTTGTCAAATGGGCCCACTTTTTTCCACTTGATTTGATCTTGTCACACTACACACGTGTCCCATCTTCAGTCTTGTGTACATTTATTGATTTTCTATTTTATTTGATTTTTATTGAATTAATTTATTTTAAATCAATTTAAATCCAAATA